AATGGCCGAATAATGTGAAAGCGCTTTGAGTGTGGTGTAAAGCATAGAAAGGCGCTATACAAGTACAAGTATAAGACCATGATGCATCCTGTGAGAGAACAGAATATACTTCTACCCCAGTGCTGCCACTAGGTGGCACCATAAGTGTTTGTGTTGTGTGGCTGCAGCTGTAAAAGACATCCAACCTAGTTTCCTAATGGAGCTGTGCAAATTGTTACTGTATGAAAATACAGTAAAGCCAAACTTTCACCAAAGCAAGTCACAGATATAAAATTCAAACCAGACAAAGAGGCATAGAGTTGATTTGCTCACCTGAGACAACAGCAGCTTTTTTGAGCAAATACAATTGGAGACTCCTGAATGATGGATGACAATAGACTCTCTCTGATACCTGCTAGTGGACAGTTTTTTACTGGTTCAGAGAAGCCAGTCACCAGCGTGGAACCATATGTACCCTGGACACTTATTGTACACTTAAACTACACCTGTACAACATGTGTCATGTATCATGTTAGTTGCATTTGAAGCAGCACTTGATTCAAGATCATGGTGAAATTACAGATGATTAAATTCAAAGATTAAAACATAGAAACACTGGCAAGCTGTTTACAGAGCTGAGCATTTCTGTAATTCACAGCTCCTACAGACTTCCATTAAAATATTTGTTTTAAAACGTGCACAGTGTCTGTGAAAATTTTTTTTTTTTGAAGCTAGCTGAAGAGCGTATGAGAAACGTATTTCCTCCTGTTCACTCTCAGGTATTGGAACTGTCCCCGTCGGCCGTGTTGAGACCGGCATCCTGAAGCCCGGTATGGTCGTCACCTTTGCTCCCCCCAACCTGACCACTGAGGTGAAGTCTGTGGAGATGCACCACGAGTCTCTGGCCGAAGCTCTACCTGGCGATAACGTCGGTTTCAACATCAAGAACGTGTCCGTCAAGGAAATCCGTCGTGGAAACGTGGCTGGCGACAGCAAGAACGACCCACCCCAGACGGCTGACAACTTCACCGCCCAGGTAAGTCCCAGGAAGAGGAAGAGGAAGAAGAAGAAGTCGAAGAAGAAAGGTTAAAAGAATCAAACCAAACAGTCATGGGTTACTTATCATTTCTACCATATATAAAATATTGATACCAGTTACAAATGCAGGTTTTACTTGAGCCTTCTTTAAATTTAAAATCATATCAGACCTAAATATTAATAAATGTCTTCCTGTACAGGTCATCATCCTGAACCACCCCGGACAGATCTCCCAGGGTTATGCCCCCGTGCTGGACTGCCACACCGCTCACATTGCCTGCAAGTTCAGTGAGCTCAAAGAGAAGATTGACCGTCGTTCAGGCAAAAAGCTGGAAGACAATCCCAAAGCCCTCAAGTCCGGAGATGCCGCCATCATCACCATGGTGCCTGGAAAACCCATGTGTGTGGAGAGCTTCTCCCAGTATCCCCCACTGGGTGAGTACAGCAGTGTTTGTGTGTTTTCTTGATAAAAAACTTGAAAACCAATTTATGCATCTTTTTTTTCTCTGCATGTTTAATATGTCATTTTTGTTTTCCAAAAGAGCCTGACATTTACTGTTTTTGGTAACATTTGGATAAAGACAGGGTTGGAAGCTGCATTATTCTGTTTAATCTGAGTCCAATTATTTGCTGTTTATCATGTCCAGTGCACATGGGTTCAGACTTGCACAGGGCCAATCTATTCTTCTCCTCTATATTTCAAATGAACATCTAATCAAGTCAATTTTCATTTTATGATTTTAATAAAGATTCCGGCTAACAAATAAAACATAAAAATATTATTATTTCATTAGGCCCATAATTCCTGAGAAGACAGACAGCACTGACCTCAGACCAGATCTTGTGTTGCGGCTAGAAACGGTCTGTATTTTGTCGAGCTTAAAGTTCCCT